CTCACACCAGTGGGTGGGATGGGGGGATCTGTCTTTCCGACTTCATTCATTCTTCCCTCCCTCTGAGCACTTTCCCAGGAGTCCTGTGACTTACGTTCAAACACAGCTCCACCTCTAACCAACAGAAGTCACTTTCCCCCTCTGAGCCTCAGTTTGCTCATCTGAAAGAGGGGCATGATCATTCCCATGCCGCTTGCTTCCCTCTGTGGCAAAGTGTGTGACTGAATGAGGTTTGTCTCCTCCTCAGCCAAGTGGGAGGAAAGGTAACCACAGCTCCCATGTATGGACGGCTCCGTTTGTGCCAAGTCCCTTCATTCATTCGCTAGATTAACCCCGTCACCACATGGGGCAGGTACCAGAATCAGACTCACCCAGGGTCCCACAGAGGGGGCGAGGTGAGCACGGCTGTCCTCCAAGGAAGAGCAGGGTGGTTCCATGGCACCCCAAGGGGGAAGGGGCAGAGGGAGGCCCATCTTCCCTGGGCCATCCCTCCCACCTGGGACCATTGATGATAACTCTGTGGCTTCAGCAGGGATGTGCCCCGTGGCCAGAGCACATCTGTGCCCAGGGAGCACGCACTATGCCCGTGGCTGCAGTGGCTCCTGTGAAGACTCTTAGTCACTCCTGACAGCCCTCTGTTTGCTTACTGACTTATAACCACGGCCCCAGGGTGTTTGTACAGCCGTCTGGGTCTTTCTGTCTGTCTTCCTGCCTGCCTGCTTTGGCCTGTAAGCCCCCTTAGGGCAGGGGTCTCCAGAGAGGTGAGCTGGTGGTGGAATGCCCAATTCTTTCTGAGGATAACTTCTGGGGGTGTGCGGGACATGTCCGCACACACTCCCCACAATCAGATTGTGTCTGGATGCCCATTCTGCCGATGAGGACACCAAGGCTGTGGACTTTGTCTCTCCAGGCCCAGGACTCAGTTTTCATGCCTGTAAAATGGGGATAATGTATGTTCCTCTCCCTGGTTTGTTGGGTGGTTCTGTGTGTTGATGTATGAGTTTGAACCATATAAAATCACAGTGTTTCACTTTTTAAAAGGTACTTTTTTTTAGGGCAATTTTCAGTTCACAGCAATGGTGAGAGGAAGGCACAGAGATATCCCGTGGGAATCTGTGGGTCAGTGAGGTTGAGGCCCTGGGGAACTAGGCAGCTGTGTTTTCCTCTTTGCCCACCTGGCAGATGGGTAGAGAAGCGCAGGACAGTGGTGTTGGCACCAAGCTGCCTGGGTTCAAGTCCCGGCTCTGCCCTCAGCCATCCCTGACTTTGGCAGAACTGTTGTGGACCTTGGTTTCCCCATTTGTGAAATGGGGGTGGTGAGAGCTCCTCTCGAGCCCGCATGTCGTGCAGCTCAAGTGAGTTATTGCACCTAAAGGCCGTGCAGCTGGCTGCACAGCTCTGCAGCCAGGGGCACATGCAGTTTGCTCTTATGAAAACTGGTAGAAAGTTTGTGACTTTTATTTTTTAATTTTTATTTTTTGAGAAAGAGTCTCTCTCTGTTGCCCAGGTTGGAATGCAATGGCACAATCTCGGCTCACTGAAACCTGCACCTCCAAGGTTCAAGTGATTCTCTTGCCTCAGCCTCCTAAGTAGCTGGGATTACAGGCACCTGCCACCATGCCCAGCTGAGTTTTATATTTTTAGGTGAGATGGGGTTTCACCATGTTAGTCAGGATGGTTTTGAACTCCTGACCTCAGGTGATCTGCCTGCTTTGGCCTCCCAAAGTGCTGGGTTCACCGGCATGAGCCACTGTGCCCGGCTGACTTTAATTAATTAATTAATTAATTAATTTTTGAGGCTAGGTCTCCCTCCCTCGCCCAGGCTGGAGTGCAGTGGTGTGATCATGGCTCACTGCATCCTCGACCTCCTTGGCTCAGGCGATCCTCCCACATCAGCCTCCTGAATAGCTGGGACTACAGGTGCACACTACCACACCGGGCTGATTTGAGTATGATTATCATTTTTTGATAGACATGGGGTTTGCCATGTTGCTCATGCTGGACTCCAACTCCTGAGCTCAAGTGATCCGCCTGCTTTGGTTCCCCAAAGTGCCGGGACTACAGGTGTGAGCCACCACTCCTGCCTAAGTCTGTGACTTTTATCCCATGTCTGGCTTCCCATTCTTTTGATGGGCCCACCATGCTTCCCGCAGTTACAAGCAGTCTCCTCTAGCATGCTGGGATCCCCACCGAGAGGAGCTGCCTGCTTACTGCCCATCCTGCTCTCCCTCCCACCTCCATCCGTTCCAGACTCCCCAGGCAAGCCCTGAGAAAGTGACGGAAAGGACGCCCTGATTTGGAAAGGCTGGCTAAACCACGCCCATCCCATAGTGTCCCACCTATGGACCCACCACAAGCAAACGGCTTCTGTCCCTGGGGTGGGGGTGGACGCGGGCACCCCCGTGAATCCATGGGCTCACTGCTTCCAGCCCTGCATAGCCTCTCCATGTAGTCTGTATAGTTTTGATGGTGACATGAAGGCTGGGCAGCTCCCATGCAGGCACCCCGGGAGGCATCGTGTGGCTGGTAGGTGGCAAAGGCGTGAGCTTCAGCATCACAGCCTCGGATCAAATCCTGACCCTGCTGCTTCCTTGCTGGGTGTGCTGGGGAAGCCAGAATGCTTCTCTGAGCCTTAGTCTACTCTCCTCCCGACAATGAACAGATCAGAACACCCGGAGGGGGTCAGGGCTCAGCCAGCCTCCCCTTCCTTGCTGGTGAAATGGTCATCACTGTCCTGCCCCCCTCCTCAGGCTGTCAGTTCAAGAGCATACGTGGCCCAGGCCGAACGCTCTGCAAGGGAGGCTGTCCTGATGACCGGCTCACTCCAGGCCCAGGACGCGGACAGCAAAGGACACTGTCAAGATGGACCTTCTCTGGGGAGGGCCAGCCTTCAAGCATCAAGGTAGGGGGTGGCCCAGACCCCTGTTGGGGTCATCTTCCAGCCCATCTTGCCCAGCTCCCCTCACCCCTGAGCTTCAGCTTGAGGCTAGGTCTCCCTCTGTCACCCAGGCTGGAGTGCAGTGGTGTGATCACCCCAGGATGGTTTCACACCAATCCAGCCAGCTTCCAGGCAGGTAGGTAGGTCCGAGCTGCCCTGTACAAACATCCTCTTCCTCGTCTAGAGCCTGGAGGAGCTAAAAATGCATCAGCTCAGCCCCAGGAAAACAAACACTGTGCTTCCCTTGCCTTTGTGAACAGGACAAGGCCCAAGGCCGCAGGTTGGGCTCCTCCAGGCTGGCTTAGGCCTGGGGTCCATCTGCCTGCCATCCTGCGGGTCTCCCCTCCTGCCTCCCTGGCACTCACCACCCAGTGGCCACAACCTCTTTAGGGTGAGAAGGTCTGACAGAAGTGGTGGGGGTCCTAATAGAAGGACAACCTCCACCTTCTCCAGGTGAAGGCCTGTGGCCCCTCTCCTAGCCCTGGCCCTGGAGCTCAGAGGCAGATTTGCATGTGCATGTGCATGGGCATGTACATGTGCGTGTGCATGTGTGTGTGCGTGTACGTGTGCACGTGTGTGTGTACATGCACAGCCTGTAGTAATAATACCATTCACTGTGGTGGCCGACAGTTGTGGGGTGCTCACTCCAGGCTTTATCACTGCAGGAGCATTAACACAGAGAGGTAGGGACTACTGTTACACACATGCTACAGATGAGGAAACTGAGGCTCCGGAAGGTTAAGAAATTTGTCCGGGCGAGGAGGCTCATGCCTGTAATCCCAGCACTTTGGGAGGCCGAGGTGGTCGAATCACAAGGTCAGGAGATTGAGACCATCCTGACCAACATGAGGAAACCCCGTCTCTACTAAAAATGCAAAAAGTAGATGGGCATGGTGGCAGACGCCTGTAATTCCAGCTATTCGGGAGGCCGAGGCAGGAGAATCTCTGGAACCCGGGAGGCAGAGGTTTCAGTGAGCCACGATTGCACCATTGCACTCCAGCCTGGCGACAGAGCGAGTCTCCGTCTCAAAAAATAAAAATAAAAACAAAAAATAAAGGTCACAGAACTATTAGATGAAAAAGCAAGGCTTTGAACGAGGTGATCTTTGATGGGAAGTCTAGTCCCCTGCCCTCTCTCAGCCTCACTTTCCTCATCTGTGCAATGGGCACATAAGATGGCAGTGGCTTCTCCCTGGGTGACTGTGAGGGTGAGGCAGGCAGAGGGGAAGGAAGTGCCTTGTGGCCAGCCAAAGGCCCTGTAGATAGGGAGGCAGGGGATGGGGCAGCAAGGGGCGTGGGGGAGCTGGTGAGGGCCATGCAGAGTGGGATAGGCCCTGGCATCTCGGACCATTTGTGGCATGGCCTTGGATGGTCCCCAGCTTAAAGCCCCACTTCCTCTCCATCAAGTATGGAGAGGCAGAGCTGCTTGGCCCAGGTGTGGCTGGCCCCTCTCGGTGGAGGCAGGCCCCCAGCACTAGTCACTCTCAGCCTTCTGGACTTGGGGGCATGAGTTTGCCCCTGGGATGGAACACAACTCCTTCCTTGCTATTTCTTCACCCCAGCCAGCGTCCTGGGCCCCCACACACAGGGAGTAAGATGCTCTTCATGGACGAGGGCTTGGAGAGCGCCGAGCACACAGTCTAACCTTGGGCAGTGCCCCCATCCCCCAGGGCTGTGGCCACGCTTTTTTTCCTTGGCTCTGACCTGTCTTAGAGTGGAGAGTTATGGGGGTGTGGGGCCCCCCACCCCTTGCTCTGCTGGAGAAACTGATTCCTCAGTGGCCCGAATGTGAAGATGGGCGGGAGCCTTCCTGGTTCTCCCATTCAAGTGCTCCTGAGGTTGATGAGACCACGTGCATTCAGGGTGGCCTCCCCAGAACTGCAGACCCTCCCCAGTTCTGACACCTCAGGAAGCGGAGCCCCTCAGGGGCCTCGTGCTGCCAAGTTTGGAGGCTCATGCTACAAGCCCCCAACTCTTTCCACCCTTTAGGAAGGGCCTGGCATCTCTGCAATAACTGGTCAGGACTCAGAGAGAGAAACAGACAGGGCCTTAATAATTTATTCATTCCTTCAGCAAGCAGGCCCTTCTTGAACAGCCACTGTATGCTGGGAGCTGTCGGGAGGCTGGAGCACGCTGGGCTCAGTCTAGTGCTAGACTGATGATCGGGCCATGATGAGGCCTGGGATGCACGCTGTGGGAGCCTGGGACAAGTGCCAAGACTGGCGGGCCTTCTGGAGGAGGTGCCTGCTATGCCCAGCCTGGCAGGAGGAAGAGGAGCAGGTGTTCTTTATTTGTTAAAAGAATATTTTTAGGCTGGGCATGGTGGCTCACGCCTGTAATCCCAGCACTTTGGGAAGCTGAGGGTGGGGGCAGATCACTCGAGGTCAGGAGTTCAAGACCAGCCTGGCCAATATGGTGAACCTGTCTCTACTAAAAATATAAAAATTAGCTGGGTGTGGTGATGCGTGCCTGTAGTCCCAGCTACTCAGGAGGCTGAGGCAGAAGAATCATTTGAACCTGGAAGGCAGAGGTCGCAGTGAGCCAAGATGGTGTCACTGCAGTCCAGCAAGACTTTGTCTCAAAAAAAAAAAAAAAAAAATCCAACGTTTTTAGAGATGGAGTCTCACTCTGTCACCCGGGCTGGAGGGCAGTGGGGCGATCTCGGCTCATTAAAGTCTTGAACTCCTGGGCTAAAGGGGTTCTCCCTCCTGCCTCAGCATCCTGAGTAGCTGGGGCCACATTCAACTTTTTTTCTTTTTTTGGTAATTTTTTTAAAGAGATGAGGTCTTGCTATGTTGCTCTGGCTGGTCTCGGACTTATGGCTGCAAGTGATTCTCTGGCCTCAGCCTCCCAAATTGCTGGGAATGCAGGCGTGAGCCACGGCCCCGGTGCGGTGTTCTTTAAAGCCTGCTCCCCTGCAAGGAGAGGGTACAAAAAAGAGGATTTTAGCACAGCACTCAGGCCTGGCTGGCATGCAGTGCCTGCCACCTCTGCTGTGCCCTCTGCTGCCACTTCTAACCCATGTACTGGCACCTGCATTGCCATGGTTTGCGTCTGTCTTTCTCAGAGCCTGGGAAGTCCCTGAGTGCCAAGGCTGGGTCTCCTTCCTATTCCATTTCTCAGTGCTTCACCCAGGGGCCGCACACAGTAGGTGTTCCACGCTGCTGCTCCTGCCTTCCCTCTCCCGCAACTTGTACCTAAGTCAGAGTTCATACAAGTCCAGCATTTACTTTTTAGCCGGCAGAGCATGTTCCCATACATGAATGCATGTAGTGTGCACCAAAGCAAGCCCAGTGTCAAAAGTGTCATCGTTGTCATCAGCATCACCCACCAGAAAACAGCACAGCACGGTGGTTTCAGCATGTGGGCTCTGTAGCTGGTCTGCTCAGATTCAAGTCCTGGCCCTATCACTTATGGGCTCTGTGACCTTCAACAAGTTTCTTGGCCTCTCTGTGCTTCCGTTTCCCCATCTGTAAGATAGGAATGACACATCTCACAGGAGTATGGAGAGGCTGCAGGTAGAGTAAGGAAAACACTACCTACCGCCTTAGCTCACTACTCATGGTAGCTGCTACCATTCTATTTATAGAGCAGGACACAGAAGTTCAAGGTCAAGATGACCCAGCTATCTGGTGGAACAGGGTTTTTATCTCTGAGTTGTTAGACCTTAGATTTCAAATACAGTGTTTAGGGATAATCTCCTCCTCCCCTTGCCCCACCTCCCTTGTCACCTTGTCTCCTAATTTATCTGTTTATACATCTGGTTGTCCTTCTCAACGGGGCTCTTCAAAGATAGGGGCCTGAATTGGGTTGGTTCACTCTTGTCTCGCCAGAGCCTGGAGCAGTGTGGGGCCACCAGTCAACTCCAAGGCCACATTGAAGAAGCCACACACTAGCTTCCTGCTAAGGTGTTCTGCTGAGCACCACATGGAGGATCTCATGGGCGCCTCCAGACCACTCTTCGAGGTGGGTGAAAATTCTCTACGTATGTCCTGAGGTACAATAAAGTGCACACATTTTGTTCTGATGTATGTATCCACCCACAATCCCATCACCACCATCAAAAATGACAAACATTTCCATCACCCCTAAAATTTTGCCATGCCTCTCTGATATCCCTCGCCCCTTCCAATTCTAGATTTATTTATTTTTTTAGAGATAGGGTCTTGCTCTGTTGCCTAGGCTGGAGTGCAGCGGCACAATCACGGCTCACTGCAGCCTCAAACTCCTGGGCTCAAAGTGATCCTCCGTCCTCAGCCTCCCGAGTAGCTAGGACTACAGGTGTGTGTCACCACACCCAGCTCCAGTTTATAAAGGAGGACACTGAGGTGCTGAGGTTAAAAAACCTTCCCAGAGACACCTGTCCAGCAAGTGGCCACTCCAGGATTTGAACCAAGGTGATGTGTCCTCAGGCTGCCTCTCTGCCACTGTGCCATGCTGCTGAGTAGCAGTCAGCAGTGGGCGGGTGCCTGTAGTGGTCTGTAAAGACCACCTGAGATGTCCTCCCTCCTCTGTTCCACCCTGTCCAGGTCCAAGAAGACAGTTTAGGAAGAGACTGCAGGTGTGACTCGCAGTGTGCTCCTGTATGAGAAGCAGGCTGGAACCCCAAAAGGAAGGATGGATGACAGACAGAGACTGCAAGCAGAGGAGGTAAGGGGGCCGGAAAGCCCGGAGACTGAGTGATGCAGGAGCCTGCATGTCCTGAGGAGGGTGCTGGGCCCAGCGTGAGTACGTGTGACTGTGACTGAGACAGTGTGACTGCTGAAGGCAGGGACATAGCAGCTCCCTGACTGGGGGCGGAAGGCGGTAACTGTGTGAAGGCTGGTTGTGGGTGGGTGGGCTCTGGGCCTCGAACCCGGGGCTGAGGGAGATAGTGAACAGCAGGGTGACTGGCGGGAGGATCCTGTTGGTTGCCCTGGGAAGATGCCGCGAGGCTGTGGGAGATTGTGTGACTTTGCAGTTCAACACATTCAAATTCAGCCAATGCTGGCAGGGCCTGTTGTGCCAGGCAACCGGCGAGGAGGAGGAGACTCGGACCCAGCTTGCAGCTGAAGGGCGCTGGCTGCCTGGTTTTGTGGGTTCACCTTGTGGTGCCTTTTGCCCTTGCTGGCATTTAGTCCTCAAAATAGTCCCATCCTCACGTTGAGGCTAGATGGAGGGAAACAGAGGAAAGTGACTAGACCAAGGTCACCCAAGTGCCAGGGCAGGACCTGAATTCAGGCTCCCAGGCTGCAAAGCCTGAGTCCCTCCCCACCACACCTGTGCCAGGGTGGAAACGTCTGGTCCTGGAGGGGAGTTTGGACTCCTGGCCTTGGCTCTGGAGACATCCCCCTGGACCACGTGGGCTCCTAACCCACGGTTACTGTGCTGAGGGGCGGGACGGTGGGTCGCCCCTAGTTCTTCTTTCCCTGGGGCCAGATTCATGGACGAAGGGGCTGCTCGGCCCTCAGAGACCCCCTAAGCGCCCCGCCCTGGACCCAAGCCCTCCCCCAGCTCCCGCCCCCTCCCCCGCTCCTGGCGCTGACTCCAGGCCAGAACAGGAAAGGCTGTCTCCACCCACCTCTCGCACTCTCCTTCTCTTTATAAAGGCGGGAACAGCTGAAAGGGTGGCAACTTTTCTTCCTGCAGCCGGGAGCGGCCCGCCTGCGTGCCCGCAGCCTCCCCCGCTGCCTCCCTAGGGCTCCCCTCTGGCCGCCAGTACCATTTTTGATTCCCGAGGTAGAGATATTTTGCGCGCACACACATACATACACGCGCAAAAAGAAAAAAAAAAAGCCCACCCTCAAGCCTCGTTGCAAAGAGAAAACCGGAGCAGCCGCAGCTCGCAACCCGCAGAGGACGCCCAGAGCGGCGAGCCAGCAGGCAGGCAGACGGACCGACGGACTCCCGCCGCGTCCACCTGTCGGCCGAACCCGGCCAAGGGCAGAGTGGGCATGCCGCGTGCGCGCGCGGAGCAGCCGTGCCCGCCGACCGGGGACCCGCGCCAGGGTGCACACGCTCCCGCCCCCCCACCCGACCCGGGCGGGAGTTTGCACCTCTCCCTGCCCGGGTACTCGAGCCGCCAGTTGCAAAGCCAACTTTGGAAAAAGTTTTTTGGGGGAGACTTGGGCCTTGAGGTGTCCAGCCCTGCGCTTTCCTATTTTTGGGGCCTTTTCAGAAAATGTTGCAAAAATGCTAAGCCGGCGGGCAGAGGAAAACGCCTTTAGCCTGCGAGTGAAGACGAACCATCGACTGCCGTGTTCCTTTTCCTCTTGGAGGTTGGAGTCCCCTGGGCGCCCCCACACGGCTAGACGCCTCGGTATGTTCGCGATGCAGCGCCCCCCTCACTCGGGCTCGGGATCCGCCCAGGTAGCGGCCTCAGACCCAGGTCCTGTGCCCAGGTCCTCCCCTGCCCCCCAGCAACCGAGCCGAGGAGGGGGGGCAGCGGCGCCCGGGGGCCGTGTGGGTGAGCCGCAGCTGCAGCGGCCTGAGCGCCTGATCGCCGAGGACCCGAGCCGAGCCCACCCCCCTCCCCAGCCACCCCCACCCTGGCCCTGGGGGCGGCGCGCTCGCTTTATGTGTCCCGGGCCCCGCGGGGCCGGGCCCGGAGTCGGCATCGCTGCTGGGAGCTCTTCCTGTCTCTCTGCTGCTACCTGCGTCTGGTCAGCGCCGAGGTGAGTTGCCACGGCTGGGGCTAGTTCTTCATTCATTACCTTCGCCCCCACCTTCTGACCGCCCCCTCCTCTCCCTGCAGTGAACTTTGGACCCTTGCAGCCCGGGAGCCTGAAGCCCGGTGCTGGGTGACCACCTCGGGCTGGGAGCGAGGTCCGCGGGTGACAGGCTCTAAGGGACGGCAACAGCGGTGGCTTTCTTTCCAACCGGCGGGCGAACCTGGCTCCCTAAGCCGTTCCGCGTCGGGGGAGGGTGTGTGTCGCCCTGCCCCCCACCCCTCGGGAACCCGAGAACAAGCCAGTTCCAGGCCAGGGAAGAGGGGGTGGGGTGGCGCCCCGGGTGCGGAAGGCAGCGCGTCCTCCCGAACCCACTTCGGCACCAGCCTCGGCTTAGGCTCTGTCCTGCCACCGGCTTGCCCAGGAGGTGCAAGCTTGTCCACCAGTGCCATCCACGCCGATCTCTGGCGGGGTTCGGGTCCCACCCTGGCTCCCGGTGGGGGTCCGAGTGGGCGCCCTCCGGCACGCGCAGGACATGCCCGGCCCCAAAGCACTGTCTAGAAGCAGCTTGTGTCTCGGGCGCGGGGACTGGGGGGTGGGTAACGGAGAGAGAGCTAGAGGGCGAGACGGGGGGACAGAGGCGCAGGTAGGTTTCGGGCACTCGGATAGGGGAAGAACTGAAGGAATAGGGGGCTATGAAGGAATCCAGCCCCCCCGGGGCGCTGTGTGCCTGAGGCCTCGCCGTACCTGTGCCCCCGCCCTAGAGAGGAAGCACCTCTCTCCCTCGCATGCAGGGTGCGGAGCGCGCCGCCCGCAAAAGCCTAGCTGCACAGGAGATAGGGTATAAAAAAATCTGCGGGAGCGCTGGCGTCGGAGCCGTCCCCTCCCAGCCTCACAGAGCGGTGAGTTGGCAAGTCTACCCGGAATCCAGGTGGGAAAGGGGGCGGGGCGGGAGGACGCGCGCGGTAAAGGGGACCAGAGGGCAGCCGGGAGCGCGGCGTGCCTGGGTGCCATCCCACCCCCGTCCGGCCGCGGCCAGGAGTCCCCACCTCGCCCGCACCTCGCCGGCTCGGGGGGGGGGGGGGATCGGCCCCTGCAGCCTCCTGCCAGAAGCAGGAAGGAGGCAGCAGCGGTGAAGGGTTTAAAGCAGAGGGCTTGGAGTCGGCGGCCCGGCATTGGGTCGCAGCCAGCGCAGGTTGTTTTGACCGCGGAGGAGTCGTGGCCGTCTCCTTTTGTTTTCAGGGTTCCTCGAGGGTCGCAGGCTGCCCGCCCGGGGGCCCCGCCCTTCCGTGGCGGTCCCCCGCGGCCGGCACCCGGGAGGGAGGACGCGGGTCTCAGCCTGGCCACCTGCAGGCCTCTCCCGAGGCCCCCTCCCCGCCTCTTCCGCAGCCCCCCTGGCCGCAGCCAGCTGTTAGGGAGGGGGCGGCCGGCCGTGGGACCTGGGGGCTGGGTCCCAAGCCCGCCAGGCCGAGCCCACCAGGCCGAGCCCGCGCCGGAGCCACCTAAAGCCGCCGCCGCCCTTTGATGCGCGGCGGAGCCATCTTGAGACCCACTTCGCGAACTTTCGCAAAGTGCTCTTGAAGTGGAAGCTGCGGGTGAGGCCGGACGCGCAGACCCCACAGTCCCCGCCAGGACCCATGGGGAGGCGGGACGCGGCCCGCCCGAGGGCCGGGCGCCGGGCACGCGGGAGCCGCTCCCCGGCCGCGCCGGGTGGATGCGGAGGCGCAGCGGGTGCGTGGATTGTGTTTGGGCACCCGGCGGGCTCGGGCACCGGGCCATGGCGCCGCCGCCGCCGCCCGTGCGGCTACGCCTGGCCGCCTCCGCCGCCCGAGACGCGCCGCCGCCCTGCCGGCGCTGAGGCTGCCAGCCACCGCCTGGGAGCTGCAAGTCCCTGGCGGGGCCCGCGCCTTCACCCTCGGGCCCGGTCGTACCTATGCGGTGGGCGCCGCGCAAATGCCCCAGGAGCTGTTGGACGGAGGCCGCGAGGGGCGGCGGGCAGGACGCGGCGTGTCTTGGGCTCCGGGCCCGGAGCTGCAAGCACCTGGCCGGGCGCCCGCTGCTGCTGCAAGTCCGTTTGGAGGCCCGCGGTGCCCCGACGGCGCTGAGCCTCCGCCTGCGGGCGCGCACGCACCATCCGGCTGCCGAGCCCGTGCCCGGAACACGTGGGCTGTGCTCCCAGGGCCTGGGCTCTACCAGGCGCTCTGCTTCCCGGTGGCCGGTAGTGGCACGGCCGCGCACCATTCAGTGCTCGCAGCTCCGACCACCGTCCCCGCCTGCAGCTGCCCACTGCGTCCCGGGCCCTGCTGTCCCCGCCGCCCCATCTGTCTGCGTCTGCTGTGAGCCCTGCGATGCGCGGCTGGCGTCTTCCGGGTGGAGCTGGCACTGAAGGCCGCCGCCTCGGGGACATCCTTCGTGTCGCCATCGCCATCACCGCCGCCGAACTTGCCCCAGACCCGGGCGGGGACGGTGCGACGGTCCCGGTGGGGCACGAGCGGCAGAGGGAGGCTGAAGTTCCCGATGCCCAACTACCAGGTGGCGTTGTTTGAGAACGAGCCGGCGGGCACCCCCCTCCTCCAGCTTCACGCGCACTACGCCATCGAGGGCGAGGAGGAGCGCGTGAGCTATTACATGGAGTGGCTGTTCCACGAGCGCTCCCGCAGCTACTTCCACATCGGCTCTGCCACGGGCGCGGTGAGCACGGCCCGCGAGCTGGACCGCGAGACCAAGGAGACCCACGTGCTCAGGGTAAAAGCCGTGGACTACAGCACGTTGCCGCGCTAGGCCACCACCTGCATCACCGTATTGGTCAAAGACGCCAACCACCGCAGCACGGTCTTCGAGCAGTCGGAGTACCACGAGCGCGTGCGGGAGAATCTCGAGGTGGGCTACAAGGTGCTGACCATCCGCGCCAGTGACAACGACTCCTCCGTCAACGCCAACATGCGCTACCGCATGCTGGGGGGCGCGTGCGACGTCTTCCAGCTGAACGCTAGCTCCGGCGTGGTGAGCATCCGCGCGGTGCGCGAGCGGGAGGAGGCGGCGGAGTACCAGCTGCTGGTGGAGGCCAGCGACCAGGGCCGCAACCCAGGCCCGCTCAGCGCCACGGCCACCGTGTACATCGAGGTGGAGGACGAGAATGAGAACTACCCCAGTTCAGTGAGCAGATCTACGTGGTCCAGGTGCCCAAGGACGTGGGTCTCAACGCGGCTGTGCTTCGTGTGCAGGCCTCGGACCAGGACCAGGGCCAGAACGCGGCCATTCACTACAGCCTCCTCAGCGGGAACCTGGCCTGGCAGTTCTACCTGCACTCACTGAGCGGGATCCTGGATGAGATCAACCCCCTGGATTTCGAGGATGTCCAGAAGTACTTGCTGAGCATCAAAGCCCAGGACGGGGGCCGGCCGCCGCTCATCAATTCCTCCGGGGTGGTATCTGTGCAGGTGCTGGATGTCAATGACAACGAGCCCATCTTTGTGAGCAGCCCCTTCCAGGCCATGGTGCTGGAGAACGTGCCTCTGGGCTACTCCGTGGTGCACATTCAGGCGGTGGACGGGGCGGCAGCGCTGGGCCTAAGAACCCTGTCCCGGCCCCGGACTTCCCCTTCCAGATCCACAACAGCTCCGGTTGGATCACTTTGTGTGCCGAGCTGGACCGTGAGGAGGTGGAGCATTACAGCTTTGGGGTGGAGGCGGTGGACCACGGCTCGCCCCCCATGAGCTCCTCCACCAGCGTCTCCATCACGGTGCTGGACGTGAACGACAATGACCTGGTGTTCACGCAGCCTACCTACCAGCTGTGTCTGAACGAGGATGCACCCGTGGGCAGCAGCGTGCTGACCCTGCAGGCCTGCGACCGCGACGCCAACGGTGTGATCACCTATCAGCTCACGGGCGGCAACACCCGGAACCGGTTTGCGCTCAGCAGCCAGAGGGGAGGCAGCCTCATCACCCTGGCGCTATCTCTGGACTACAGGCAGGAGCAGCAGTACATACTGGCGGTGACAGCGTCGGACGGCACACGGCGCACACCGTGCATGTCCTCATCAACGTCACCGACGCCAACACCCACCGGCCGGTCTTTCAGAGCTCCCATTACACGGTGAGTGTCAGTGATGACAGGCCTGTTGGCACCTCCATTGCTACCCACAGTGCCAACGACGAGGACACAGGAGAGAATGCCCGCATCACCTACGTGATTCAGGACCCAGTGCCGCAGTTCCCCATCGACCCCAACAGTGACACCATGTACCCCATGATGGAGCTGGACTATGAGCACCAGGTCGCCTACACGCTGACCGTCATGGCCCTGGACAACGGCATCTCGCAGAAGTCGGACACCACCACCCTGGAGACCCTCATCCTCGATGCCAACGACAATACGCCCCAGTTCCTGTGGGATTTCTACCAGGGTTCGATCTTTGAGGATGCTCCACCCTCAACCAGCATCCTCCGGGTCTCCGCCACGGACCGGGACTCGGGTCCCAATGGGCGTTTGCTGTACACCTTCCAGGGTGGGGACGATGGCTATGGGGACTTCTACATCGAGCCCAGTCCAGTGTCATCCACACCCAGCGCCGGCTGGACCGGGAGAACGTGGCCGTGTACAACCTTTGGACTGTGGCTATGGATCACGGCAGCCCCACTGCCCTTAGCGCCTCGGTGGAAATCCAGGTGACTATCTTGGACATTAATGACAATGCCCCCATGTTTGAGAAGGACGAGCTGGAGCTGTTTGTAGAGGAGAACAACCCAGTGGGGTCGGTGGTGGCAAATATCCGTGCTCAGGACCCTGACGAAGGCCCCAATGCCCAGATCTTGTATCAGATTATGGAGGGTGACATGTGGCATTTCTTCCAGCTGGACCTGCTGAACGGGGACCTGCATGCCCTGGTGGAGCTGGACTTTGAGGTCCGGCGGGAGTACGTGCTGGTGGTGCAGGCCACATCGGCCCCACTGGTCAGCCAAGCCAAGGTGTGCATTCTTCTCGTGGACCAGAATGACAACCCTCCGGTACTGCCCAACTTCCAGATCCTCTTCAACAACTCTGTCACCAACAAGTCGAACGGCTTCCCCACCGGCGTGATCGGCTGCATCCCAGCCCATGACCCCGACCTGTCGGACAGCCTCAACTACACCTTCCTTCGTGGCAACGAACTGCACCTGTTGCTACTGGACCCCACCGCGGGTGAGCTGCAGCTCAGCCGGGACCTGGACAACAAGCGGCCACTGGAGGCGCTCATCCCCGAGGTGTCTGTGTCTGGTGAGTGGCCGTTGGGGCTGGAGGAGCGGCTCTGGATGGGCCGCCTGGAGAACCTCAGGAACCCACCGAGGGCCTTGCCTGGCATGCCGGGGTGCATTTGGGTCGGGCGTGGGGAGCTCTGCAAGGATTTGTTGCCTCCAGTTAGATGTTGGGGCAAGCGCCCCACTTAGGCCCAGCTGGGGGAGAGGCACCGCGCTACATCTGTCAGCATTTTCTTGGGAAAATGCCCGCGCTTCTCCAAGTTCAAGACCAGGGCTCAGCGCCTTCCTCAGCAAGCTAGTGGCTCCTGAGTACAGCTATTAAAATGTGGCCTCCGGGTGATCTGGGTCACAGGGTTTGCTTGTGTATGCTCTTTCATCAGCCAGCCACAGGGCTCTCTGGGAAGATCAGAGATCACTGCCCCTTCCATGTGCCAATTAATTCCAGGGTGGCACCGTTGGAGATTGTCAGACGGCCCCTGAGTCACCCTGTGATGTAGCCAGTGTCCCCTTGGTCTTGCTTTTCTGTCTCCTCGAGATAATAACAGTTGGGTGGCTGTGTGCAGGGCTTTGTGTGAGCTCTTTGAAAAGCATAGCCTCATCTCACCTTGGCTTCTGCTCCTGGACACGGGCTTGTAATTTGGGAGCTGTTGAAGAGGCCTGCCCAGTTAGTGGTAGAGCCAGTGTGGGTAGCTTGCTTGCCGGCCCTGGGGCTGGAGGTGCACAGAAGGGAGAGGAAACCTTGGCTCTGTGGTCAGATGATTGGCAGGTCCTCCACGTTTCTGACCCCGAGGGCCAGGGCTGGCCTGTGGTGCTGGGGGGGTGGTGCGTACTAATAGAATGTGTTGGAATTGGAAGATGCAGAAGAGAAAGAAGCACTTGGCAGGGGCTGGGGGAACAATAAAGGTCCCCCAGTGGCTCTTTGAGGTTTGCCTGACCATGCATCCAAGGGTGCTGGTGCAGGCAGGTGACCTTATTTATAAGACCACGGCCAGGAAGAGCTCGGATTGGCTCGCTGCTTGAGTCAGTTTCAGATGAGCTATTTAAACAGTGAGTTATTAGGACGCAGCATTGCCACGGGAGCCCTGGAAGAATTAACAAGTTAACTTTCTGATTTGTTTCGTTTCCGAGGTTGGCTGTAATTCTGTGATATAGGAGGGCTTGGATTGCTAACAGCTTCCGGTTACAGTTGTTTGCTTATAGATGTGAAACTTACAGATTCGTTTTGATGATACAAAACTTCTGTGCAGTTGTGGCGTTACAGCCTATTTGTTGGTGAATATTTTAGGTTTTGCGAGATTGTAAAATGTGTGGAGAATATGGAATAGGCTCTTAAGGGCGAATTAATTGGGATGATGGATGTTCTTAGGAAGCTTTTCTTCTGTACCACTTTATCTGATAGAATGGGAAATTTGGCCTGTTTAAAAATGACTTGGCCCAATAATAGGGTTTAGATTTTACGAGGACAAGGTAGTGGGAACAGTTCTGTGCTGGGGATGGAGATGTTTTGTGTGTCTGCGGCATCAGTAGTGTGCGTCCCCCCACAGTTAGTCAGACAGCTGGGTTTAGGATGGATTCCCTTCCAAGGAGGTTGGTTCCTGAGGTCATCTCACCCGGACGCACAGCCTGGACCACACTTGAAGATCGGCTGGGGGCTCCACGCTATGTAGTCACCGTCTCCGTCATCCAGTTCCTGGCTCTGCTGCTTTGCTGACACGCCCTCGTGTAAATCAGGTACTGGGGCTTCATGCACACACACCCCCGCCCCGCCCCAGATGACAATGGTTCCCTTTGCCTGGGTTCCAGCAAGCGGTTTTCTTTACTCTCTTACTGGCGCTGTCATGTGTTTCCCTGGTAACTGGGAGTTGAGTGGTGTTATGCTGTTGCTGGTTTTACAGATGAAGACACTGAGGCTCAGGGGTGTTGAGTGACATCCTCAGGGCTGCACAGCCAGTGGGCAGGGGCACTTGGCATTAAAGCACAATCCGCAGAAAACAGGCCGCCCTTCACATTCACCCTCTTCTTTAAAAGAACATTTTTGATGAATTAGTTGCTAAACTGAATTATTCCAGTGTCAAATGGATGCTCAGCTTTAAAGTAGGCATATGCCTGGGCACGGTGGGTCACGCCTGTAATCCCAGCACTTTGAGAGGCCGAGGCGGATGGATCACGAGGTCAAGAGATTGAGACCATCCTGGCCAACGTGGTGAAACCTCGTCTCTACTAAAAATATAAAAATTAGCCAGGCATGGTGGCATGTGCCTGTAGTCCCAGCTACTCAGGAGGCTGAGGCAGGAGAATTGCTTGAACCTGGGAGTTGGAGGTTGCAGTGGAGATTGCACCATTGCACTCCAGCCTGGGCAACAGAGTCAGACTCTGTCTCGGAAAAAAAAATTATACAATGAATTATATGTAATATGTAAATTATTATATAAAATTATATACACAAATTTAGGTATGTATGTATAGATGTGTGTGTGTGTGTGTGTGAGAGAGAGAGAGAGAGAGAGAGAGAGTGGGTCTTGCTCTGTTGCCCAGCCTGGAGTGCAGTGGCATGATCATGACTCATGTCAGTCTCATCTCAGCTCTCTGCACCACCACACCTGACTTTTTTTTATTTTTAGTAGAGACAGGGTCTCACTATGTTACTCAGTCTGGCTTCCAACTCCTGAGCTCAAGTGATCCGTCTGCCTTGGCCTCTCAAAGTGCTGAGCATGAGCCACTCTGCCCGGCCTGGTGTATGTATTGATGAGTACATGAGATGTTTTGACACAGGCATGCAACGTGTGAAAATCACATCATAGAGAACGGGGCATCCATCCCCTCAAGGACTTATCCTTTGTGTTATAAACAATCCAATTATACTCTTTTAGTTTTTCTTTTTTTTTTTTATTAAGACCGAATCTCACTCTGTCACCCAAGCTGGAGTGCAGTGGCGGGAACTGACTGACTGAAAACTCCACCTCCCGGGTTCAAGCGATTCTCCTGCCTCCGCCTTCCAAGTAGCTGGAACTACAGGCAGGCACCACCACACTGGATAATTTTTTCATATTTTTATTAGAGACAGGGTTTCACTGT